ACATTAAACTGCAAAAGGGAGAAGTTTATGTGCTGGTGGCACTCACTCCACGAAGTCTACATGCATACTACAGAAAGCATTTCCTGCCACGCGTCCATCATAAAGTTCTGGTGTCTCTACCGATTAACTTTGAAACTCCACTTTCGAGCGATTTCTATCTTAAGTTTTTAGCTTTCTCTACTCTGTCAGAGAGTGCATTATTAAAGAGGTGCACGCTTTTTGAGTTTTGAACATCACTAGTTGGTTTATTTCTGATTATATTATTGTCTGAATTTATATTCTTACAGGGAAAGACCTCCACTGGTATGCCCGTGATAAAAAATCTGAGGCTGCTAATTCAGAGGCTATTAAAGAAGAGGTACAAAGGATCAAGGAGGAAGAGGAGCAAGCCATGAGAGAGGCTCTAGGCTTAGCTCCTAAACGGGCAAAAAAATCTCAAGGTAATCGACTAGATAAACATGAATTTGCTGAACTTGTAAAGCGAGGTTCTACTGCAGAAGACTTGGGAGCTGGCCATGCTGAAGCTGCTCAGGTTCAGGGTCTTGGTTTATCTAAGTACGATTCTTTCTTATTATGTTTTCCTTTTTACTTGTGCCCGCCTCTCCATTTTCTCAAAAGAAATCCCATTCAAATTCCAGTTTGTTATTAACTTTTGACACATTGGCAGGGTGCCCCGTCCCTGGGAAGAATCAAGTTTACCTGCCAGTCTGGAGTCCGAGTCATTTGAGAAGATGAGTACTCCCATGCCAATCGCACCTGCAAGGAAAGATGAAGAAGAGTCTGAAGATGAAAGTAGCAGAAAGAAAAGAAAGCGCGAGGAGAAGAGACGCGAGAAACATGAAAAGCGAGAGAAGCGACATTCTCGTGCTTCAGATGACAAGAGGAAACACAACAAAGAGAAGGGAAAGAGAAGACACGATTCAGATTGATGAAATTAAACCAATAGTCCAAGGAGGAAGTTAGAAAAATAAGAAACATGTAGCATGACATTATGAATAGTCTTCGAGATTTGATTCAGCTTCAGTTTCTTCAGGACATCCTATGTAGTAGTTTTGTATTTTATTGTGATCTTTTTTATGCAATGAACTAATACTATATTGATCCATTTTATATTGAATTCTTGACTGATGGCAACAGAAATGTAGAAAATGACATGGTAATTGATTGTCGTAGTTATTCGCCACACGATGCGCTGTAGGATATACCCATAAATATTTGTTAAGTAAAATTTTTGTGAGACGTTATTGGTTTTCCACTTGTGATTGGGTAGCAAATTGGTGAGTTGGTGTTCAGTTGTTCATTTAGCCTTCAACATTGAGAATCATCCAAATATTTATTAAATCACAACCTTTAGACGCCAAATTTGTGTTGGTAATTTTTTTTTCCTATCGTGTTACACATCATTCTTTGCATTTTGTCACGTGATAACACATGATTAGACAGTTTAAAAAATAAATGATTTTTCTTACAATCATTTTTTAACAACACATTGAATGTCAAACTAATTGTACACCTTGAGTGTACATTTAGCATTTTTTTTAACCATGCTACATGTACAATGGAAGATGACGATGGAGAATGACCAACACTCACAATAGGGGGGGCCTACTTTTTTTTTGGAATTTTTTAATCACGCAGGGCTTGCACCCATGTGAGAGGTTGTCAACCTTCATTATCATCCATTATTTGTACAAATGGAATTTTCCTTGACGATAACATTTGATGCGAGTGGATAAGCGAAAAGCCTTGAGGAATATAACATATATGAAGGTGGTTGGCCAGGGTAGGAGTGTTTGAATATTTCTTAGAATTTATTCAACTCATAGGATATGAGTGTCAGAACATTTTCCAAGAATTTATTCAGCTCATGAAAATAGTAAACATTTCTAAAAAAAGTGCAATGCCAACAACAAATACTGTATATAACGAATATTGTAATATAATATTAAAACAATTGATGAGTCGTTTATGCGAACTCTATAACATTAAGGATAATTGAACTTATGAATACATTGACATAGCCAAATATTTCAGCTCTCTTATAAGTTATAAGTTGTTTTTAGAAGAAATAATTCTTTCTAAGGGCCCGTTTAATTGCAAAGGTGGAAAATGGGTGTAAATAAAACGTTTTACAGGGAATTGATTTGCCTAAAAATTGTTTTACTGGGAATTGTAATTAATTGTGTTTGATTGGTATAATTTTTTACTCGGAAAATGTTGAAAGTTTGGTGTCCGTTTGATTTCGTTTTTCATGAAAATTCTCCATTAAAGTGATATTTTTTTTCTACCATAGAGTTTAAAATTTGTTCTACTTGCCAAAAAATAAAAAATAATAATTTTTTTTTGTTTTTACAAAAATTACTATACCGAATATTATTCGCTTGACTTTATTTTGCATGAAAATTGTCAATAAAAGTGATAAATTTTTTTACCGTTGTGTTTAGAATTTTTTACCATTGCCAAAAAAAAAAAGAAAAAAGAAAAGAAAAAAAGGGGAAAAAAAAAAAAAAAAAGAAGAGAGAACCTGGAAATTAAATTCTCACCAAAAACATAGGGAAATCCAATTCACCAATTGTAGGAAAAATAGGTGCGTTACATTGCGGCGCAGAAAAAGAGTTTCAGGTTGAATGTTGACAATCAAACATGCTTAATTTCTTTGGAGGTCCCCAAGTCATTATTTATACTTCATTTATTCCTTAACCTTTCACATCTGGGCCTAGACCTAGAGGTTTTTTTTTTGGAACAATACATAATTCCTTGTTTTAAAAATCACATTTCATAAATAACAAACTTCAAATTTTTTTTTCAAAAATCAGGTGTTAAATCAATTTATTAAATATTTTTAATTATAATATAATACAATTATCCCAATTTATTAAATTTCAAATCCAAATCATTCTCTCTCTCTCTACTCTCCATCCTCTCCCTACCCCTTCTACTCCGGTCATCTATTCCGGCGACTGTTCCGGCGATCACTCCGACGACCTCTCCAGCGACTGTTCCGACAATCACTTCGGCGACTATTCCGGCGATCACTCCGGCAGCCTCTCATGCGACTGTTCTGACTGCTCCAATTTCCAAAAAAAATTCCAGAATTTCAAGTCACAATTGGTCACAACGAGTCACAATTAACCAGTCACAATCGATCACAAACGGTCACAACCAGTCACAAACAGGTCACAAACGGTCACAACCATCACAAACATGTTACAAAAGGTCACAATCAACACATATTTGATCGAAATCTCATCCCGTGCCACCAAATTCAAACATCGTCACTGCACCGGAAGCACCATATCCAAAATACTACAAATTGGAAAACCATCAACAAAACGCACCACCGCAATCGCCATTACCGCAATCGCCATTACCGCCACCAGCAAACTGATTTCTTTAATAGGAATTTCCCAACAACCACCACCTCTACCTCCACCTCCACATCCGGCACATCATCACTGCCTCTACTTCTACACACCACACCTCACTACCATCGCNTTTTTTTTTTTTTCAAAAAAAAAAACCTCTAGGCCTAGGCCCAGATGTGAAAGGCTAAGGAATAAATGAAGTATAAATAATGACTTGGGGACCTCCAAAGAAATTACCTCAATAAAATGAAGCATAATTTATTGGTGACCAAATGCGCAAGTTTCCTCTCAATTATTATCGGAACCGAAGCAAAAGAGAGTTCCTCACTCCACCATTAAGCTATAAAGAATCCAGAATTCTACTATTCCTGATTAATTTTTAACTTTTAATCTTAATCCTTATTTCGATCATTAATTCAGATCGATACGATTAAATTCACTGAACTGCTGCAAAATTCGTGAAAAAAAAACTTTATTTTAAGAAAAATGGTGTCGGCAAGTAGGGAAATGGCGGTTTACTGCTTTGACACGCTGGTGGCTCACTACAACAGCGAACAAGCTCCTCATCCTGCCTTCGATGAGGGTCAACAGTATGATATTTATTTATCACATTAAATTATTATTAGGATTTTATTATTTATTTAATTTTTTGATGTTATTACTATTTTTGCACATACTCTTTCTGGATTTTTATTGGAATATAATTAATCAATTATTTATATGATTACGTTTTTGCGGTTTTTTTTCTTTTTTCTCAGTTCATAGTTACTGTAAAAAAAAAATTGCATGCAAAATTTTTCTTTTCTGGATTGTTTGTGTTGATGGATGGATTTTTGTGCATTGTGTTTACTTATTTATCTCCATTACATTGCGGAAGTTTTCACGAAAGAAGATTTCTTTTTTCGTTTCTTTGAATTGAAGGATATCAATTTTCCGGAGGAAAAAAAAAAGAATTTTGGGGTTGAATATAAGATAAATATGTTGACTTAAAATTTCTCTTAAATGGTGTGAAGAACTTGAAATGAAAAAATAGACGATGGGACAAATTCATTTCATATAATTAGAAAATATCTATTAAATTTTCATTTCCTTTCTTATTTTGTGCTTCCATGAATGTTAAGCACCTTGCTTCGTCTGAATTAAATTTGTGGGATTTAATTGTTCTTTATCCTCTTATAAATCTCAAGGATACAGTCTCTAATTTTTAACAGTTTTCCTGATGCATCATGCATATGTTACTAGTTACTACTATGGCTGGTACTCTTTCCTATGCTTTTTAATGGAAGTGTAAAAGCAACACGTTAAATAACTTGGACTTTGTCTTGTTATAAATGAAATGCATGCTGCGGATGACCAGAATAATGTGGATACATTGTTTTATTGTTGTCCCAAATTACACTTGGTTTCAGCCCATTATTTGTTACCTGGAAGAAAGTGGTGAATGGAGGGGAGCCTCGATTACGTGGATGCATTGGGACTCTTGAAGCTCACTGCATAATCAATGGATTTAGGGACTATGCTCTAACAAGGTGATTCCACATTTTTCAAAAGTTTAAGCTTCATACCCAACGTAAAAAGAAACACGTGAATCTGTCGGCTGCATTTTTCTTTGTGCACTTAATGTCTGAGAAATCAGACATGAGTAACTCAAATACTATTTTTAAAAAGTCGTCATCTCAGATTCCATCAGCTTCTTTCTTTTAAGATTTATTAGTGAATCAAATAACACTATCTGTTTCATGTAAAGGCAACCTGACTGCATTGTTGTTCATTAATTTGTACACGTTCTTAACTCCAGATTTTAGCATTTTGTCTTTTACACCTGTTTATGAAGTGAGGATTAGCAACATTAATTTTAATCCTAAGTGATAGTTACACATCCTTATATTCAATGCCCAATCTCCTTAGAATAAATTTATAGAATTTACATCTGACTGTTCAATCTCACTAGTTATATCTTCCTTGGGGTCTTGGGGTGAAGAAATTCAGATATTATTTACCAAAACATGTGGTTTGTGAGACTGTGAGTGTATATATTCCCAGGATTGGAATAAGTACAAAATGTGGATGGAGTAAAGCTGGCAGATGGGTATTAGGAATGCAGATTGGAATTAATTTAGAACTTGGTACATGGGTATCTATGTAGAATTTTATTTGTTGCAGCTCTTCATGAATAGATACCGTGGGGGTTAAACTTTTTCCTTTCCCTGCCCCTTGTTGTCTTTTGTACTTCTTGATTTCTTTGTGCATATCACCAGCATGGAATTTGGCCAACTATATCAACAATATTACTTGATCTTGTACTAAATACTCTCTTCTCTTTAAAGAGTATTTTTGTATAATGGGTTCCGCTTTTTACTTTGTTTTAGGTTCATGAATTTACAAGGACTTATGACATCTCCATTGTATTCTTGAATAACTATTTAGTTAGTGTGCTGTAATTTTATGATTAATTCCTTGTTGGAAACATCTCATTAAATTTCCACCACTTTTAAAGCAGAGGCTAATTTAATTCTTCATTTTTTACATTTTGCAGTGCCCTTAGGGATCGTCGATTTCCCCCA